AATGTCTTACGTGACGCTTCTTGAAGACCGCAAGTAATTATTCGTCTTTTTAGTAAGACAGGATCACCCTGTATTTTGAGTTTAATAGGCTGAATTTTCTTTTCTCCACTGCACTTAGCCCACAGCAACAAAGTCATAAAATGAACCAAGTGAGGTATTTAATCTATTCTGAATACTGAAATCGTAGATAAGCATAAATAATCATTAGAAACACCTAATTTAATAGAATCCGAACCACAGGGTTAATCAACACTTGTCAGAACCGACAGTTGCTTTACAGGCCAACTTGATGTATCCCATTCTTTCACACTTAATGCATTTAGCATGATGAAAGACCCATGAATTACGCAAGTGGAATTTACCACAGAATAGACTTTTACCAAACCTGGACTCACATCTGTAACCTGCCTTGTGATTCTTTGATGAATTACTTTTCACATTTCCACGAGAATGGAAGGGATATTAAACAAAAACGAACTTGTGCAACATTAAGAATATAATTCATCACGATGACTGTGAAAAGTATCAGGAATTTTCACTGACTGGAAATCAAGCTCATTCACTGCATCATATAACAAATTCTGTTCTAGTTTCTTGGAATGAAATTTTAGGTTTCTGAATTATTCTCTTTTTAAATTCGAAATATTAATATCAGCGATCAAGCGATCTCGAAGTTGAGTGTCCAGTAGGTTTCCGAAATTATGCTTTGTGGCCTGTTTCTGTGGTTCAGGTAAAGAAAACTTTGACTTTCTAGACATTTTGTTGCATCGCTTAGTGAAATACTGATCTACCTGAGCAGTCAAAGCTAATACTTGATACCTGCAGATCAACAACGTAGATAATTTATGTCAAATGATTGGACGCCTACTCCAGTTAAACAGGAATAGTGTGATAAATCAGCCGATTTCGAAGTCACGTCACGGTTGGTGCCTAACGTGGATTACCCTTTTGTCGTAACCATGTACTATGGCTGCTTTGATGACCGTGCAACACGAAAGACGTTAAAAAATATATTAGTTAGAGTAGGTACAAGAGACAGTGTGACAATTGTTACGAGGAGCAGTACATGAAGCGCAGTTAAGTGGTGCGCGTTGATTGTCCTTGACATTGACGAGGATCGGTGAACTAATTAAGATTTAGTGATTCGACTTCTGAATGGCTTGACTAATGTCCAGTAATATTTCACTGGACATAAATGTGGTTCACTGAGAAACGCTGAGCGTTCTCCCTTTCTTACTCTTACTATAAATCTCAAACTTCGGTTTCTCAAGTTTGTAAATAAGAAGGTGAAGAAGCAATGATTAATAGTTTATGTCAGTTTGTGTTAAAACTTAAAATAGTCGGATACAGAAATGTGATCCCATATTTTTCGTGAATAGTCAGGTACACAGCTGTGCACTTATCAGCCATTATTTGCTGACTAGTATAAAATATTGTATCAAAGAAACGATTAGGTGATGATCTTCGAGTATCACAATCGATTGATCACCGCGTGGTGATCAATGTCATGCGTAGCAAGTCCTTCTTAGTGCAGATCGAATGCTATCGACCATGACATGACATGACATGACATTGATCACGACCCAGTGATCAATCAATTATGATTGCATCTCAGTCCTATAGTGCCCAGTGGCAACGACCCTGACTGTAAAGCTGGGTGACACGGGATCGAATCCTTAAGGGAGCAACAATTCCCTCAAGATTACAGGAAAACCTTGCCGACGGGTGCCGAATAGCACCCATTTGGGAGAGAAGGCTTCGGTCTAATTTGACCCTCTACTTCAAACTACTCAAAAAATTACTTATTCAACATGTAAGATAGTTCTTGTCCAAGATTCACATGAATACGAACTTCGAAACAAAGTTGAGAAATACAGATCAAAAACTTGGGAAAACTTCTTCCTCACCAGGTATGCAATAATATGAAACAGTCTTCCCTCCAAAATACGCTTTGCAGATGAATTACATGAGTTTGTAAAACTACTTGATCAGGCCCTCACTTTCACTGATCTAGCACGAACGAACACATCTGCGCCTCACTCAGACATCATAGGCTCTCTCCATGTGTGAACCAAAATGGACTGCAAGTTCAGTTTGCCTTATTTTTCCAACTTTGCAGTTGTATTAGTTACATTTTCCACCCTGTTTCTTCACTTGAAGTAGACAGGTAACTCACTGAACCTATCGATACTGTTCAACTAAACTCGATCGCTAAGGGACACTCACTTCCACCCTAAAAAGTCAAGTGAACCGCACAACTGACTGTCCACTACCAATGGTCTTGCATCAGTGGAGCGCGTCACCCACCAACTGGTTGGGAAAACACAAAATAACATCAGCACCAAGTTAGTGTGAGTTTCCTCCTGTTTATTCTTTGTTACCTTTTTACTCTTCTGTACACAATGTTGACTGACAATTTATATTATTTCTCTACTCGTTACCTTATCTAAAACTCATATACTTCTATAATTTTTGGCTTGCTTTAATAACCAACTATCCTACATTATACACTTTATAATGCTTATACTCTGACAAACTATGCTTTATACTATAGTCAATTGCAGCACTGCATCGATGTATTACCCATAGTCAATAACTTGCACCTGCCTGATGAGCTTGTAAAATGGTACTTATAAAAAGTGTTTTCCAACAGGATGTGAAAAACAGAGGATTGTGTGAGGTATGACATATATCCAAAAATAAGCTTAAGTGAGCCCAACATCACAAAAGGAGGGAGGGTGGAGTTACTGACCAGCAAGCATTGATGGTGAGGGCGATGACTTTAATCCACCCATGTTTGTGGGGCAGAACATTTTGTATGTACCGGGCTCTTTATGATTGGGAATAAGTCAATCAATCTGTGATATAGATTGTCTTCCTACGCTTACCACTCAGACTTCCAATTTCATGCTGTATTAGCTATTATATTAAGACAACCTATAACATGCTAACTCGGACTTTTACACTGGGATCATGTGGCTTGCACCGGATGGACAAAGAAAGAAAAGAAAGAAAAAACTAGGCAACAAAATATATGGTCATTAGTATTCTTAGCACTTCACCCTCTACATGTACACTCCCTTCTAATAAACCGCTATCCTTGTACAGACCTTGAATTTCCTTCCTTCATGGGACCTTACTCCAACTTGTTAAACACCACAACTCATTCTCTTATATGAACCCTCAGACTTTATTTCACTCTAACAAGAGATAATATGAATTTAATCTAATTTATTATACCTCTGTCTGTTCTGCAACAAAATGTTGAGCAATGTTTGGCGTTTATATCCAAGTGCCTTGCTGCTCCTCTGTTTATCTTTTTTTCACTTCATAATCTTGCTCTGAGGTTACAGCTATGAAACTTATGACGTCTGGAACAAATTGACGTACGCGTCTCCTTATGTCATGGTTTAGAGCAAGCGCTCTGCAACTCTACTTTACAACAACTATAAACTTAATAAGTTGGGAGGCATGCTGTACGCCAACAAATGTTGTAATTTATGGATTACGTTTGTAAAAATGGGGTGTACCTGCTCATGCAGAATTATGTTATTTTTGTTGTGAATTTAATATTGGCCTGCAGACAGTTGCTCTGAGTACGAGATTTTCTTCAACTGTAGAAATTCTGCATCGGATCTTCCCTGTTCATCGATGACTCTGAACATGTCATGTCTGTGAATGTTTTCAGCTGCTACATAGTTTCTCCATCAAATATGGTTTGTGGACTCTATATAGAACTTGAGGATCTTGCTGAGGCCCTTGTGTATGTTGAAGCCTGCTGATGCAGAGGCTGCTGCTACACTGGTTGTCTTAAACGATATTTCTTGGTGTGTACGGGATAGAAGGGCCAGATCATCTGCGACTTCTAAATCTTCTGTTTGATGCCAAGCTGTCCATTACATTACGTGCTTTGCCTCATATATTGAGGTATTCATAATTCAATCGACCACCAGAAGAAAGAGAGAGTGGGAGAGTAAGCAGACTTGTCTAACTCTGATCCTCACTTGGAATGCATCTTTCAGCTATCCTCCACACAAGACCTTGCAACGTAGTCTGGCGTATGAATTCTGGATGATTTTGACGATTGTTTCATCTACTTACACCATAGTGTTGAAAAAGTTTCCATCATGTACTTTTATCCGCACTGTCAAACGCCTTCTCATAGTCAATGAAAGTTGATGTATAGTGATGAGTTCTACTCAACTGATTGTATAAAGATGATTTGTAGCGTCCCTATTTGGTCTGTGTACGACTGATCATTTTGGAATCCGACCTGTTGATCTGGAAACTGAGCGTCTACTAAATCTTTCATTCACTACATCAATACTCTGTCGAAAACTGTTCCTGGTACTGATAGTAGTGTGACTACTCTATAGTTCTTACATTCGATGGATTTTCTTTTTAAGGGATCTTGATGATGTGTCTTTCTCTCTTCTTAACATAATTGTCATTAAAATATTGTGGTAGTGCATAACTGGCTCGGAAAATCTTGGTTGGTATAATACAGAGACGTCACAGTTGTTCAGTACTTGACAGAGCTGAAATAATGAGCGTTCGGTCAGTTGACCATGGAGCAAGAACTACATATCTGAACTGGAATATCAAGTGAATTATTTTCTGCTCCAGAAACAACGCACTTCTCACAAATAACACAGTGCATTAATGTCTCCGGATATTTTTCATCATTTGATTCTCCATTTTCCTCGTGTTCATGACCCGATCAATGATAGAACACTACTGAAGACTTGAGGGCACATGGTAGCCGGCATATCCCAGTATCGGATTCCTCAGAAGTATGTATTATCGATTCTGCACGCAGCACGCGATACATTTTCCATTCGACTAATTTGTATTTGAACATTCTAGTGGCCAAGAAATTCAGGAAATGCTTTTGATGGCGTGTGAAAAAATCGTTGTAAAATTAAACGACGTGAGCTTATTGCAAATGCGATGTTTGTTTAAAAGCATCGATTTAAAAAGTTTAAAGGCCATACCCGTTCACATGACAACTTTTCGAAGCAGTTTTCAAAAGTTTCTATTACTATGCATTTTTGATTTTGAAGTTTTTTAAGCAGTTACTTGTGTTATTGTTATCTGTTATCGACTGCCTTTGTTATCAATTGTAGGCGCATTTCATATTATTGACTCATTTTTATAATGTTGTTCTTTGCTTCAGATTTTTTCATACTTTTCTCAAGCTATCACAAAACACACAATCAAGCTAGACAACAGCCGATAAATATATACGTTTGATTTGGGTATTTACTATTGAAGCAGTTTAATTCATCGGGTTAGGGTGCATGTTTTACTTTCGTTAAACTTGCGGACTAAAAATCTGTCCATTTGTTGTCCCTAATATAATAACATACCGGTTCCACTTTATTTTGACTGAATTTTAACATTTGCTGAACGTAATCGCATTTCGTTGGTAAGATAAAATTATGGAAGGTCTGCCGTTTTTGCCAGGAAATGCCTTTAAAGACCCTACGGTAAGAATGTTGTCCACTGATTTAATGTTTGTTTAGCAAAACAATTTTCACCTTTCTCACACTCTGGATATGAAAAATGGTTTACGATATGCGAAAGCCTACCCAGAAGTTGGGATTGGTGGTCGTCCTTTGAAAGTCAACCAGCTAAACGAGGAAGAATTAGACGAATTAGCAAATTTTCAGCCGACTTTAACTTATGGAAGGACGAAACAGTCGCTTGTTTCTGAATTCATTCCTGCCCACGTCGCGTTGTATAATAAGGTCCTTCGATTTTATGGATATTTCAAAGAAACAGTTAACGAATCACAAGTTGAGCACTACAGAGTCCGGCTGGTTCAGATATTGTACTTCCTAGAGGACGACAGCATGCTGGTGATGGAACCCCCACAAAACAATAGTGGTATACCTCAAGGTAACTACCAGACCATTGGGAGGGACTTTATTTCACATAAAGCATGTTCTTAACTTAATATATTACATTTGAAACACGTATTAGTTATAGCATGCCTATATGAGCATATACCTGCTGTTCTAAAACTTGTTTTATTACATGAAACTATTTTATATGATTAAAAATGGTAAAGTGGTACAGAGTTAGCCTTCAATAATTTTTATAGTTACAACATCTGTTAAAATAATTATTTTATTTAAGAGTCTTCACCATTTAAATTGAATTTGATGATTTTAACAATTTTTCAGCTGTTGACCACCTGATGAAGTAAACGTTTTCCATTTTTATCCATTCATTTGGATCTTATAAGCTTTTTGTGGCCATTTAACTTAGGCTTTCGGGTAAATTCAATGTTTGTGGGTGTTTCTATAATAAGAAACTATCAACAAAAAGACGAATTTGTTATCTTTTTCATCTTACTCACTTAAGGGATAAAATTACTACGAAGAAGAGACTACAGGATGGGTGAAAAAAGATAAAGCCACATAGCTCAAAACTTAAGGGATACTTATTCAAAGACGTCAAACGAAAAACAGTGTTTATAGGCTGGCAATAGTGGTACATGAAGTATTGGCAAGAAGTTTATATACAACAAGGTTTTTTGTTGAATAATGCTCTCGGAGTAGATCTGTATTATGCAGAAAGAAATGAATGACTAAGCTTCTTATTGAAGTCGTTATTTTGTATTCCAATTGGTCATGTTGATCAACCTGTGGCATACAATAACTAAAAACGATCAGGTTTGTATGCCTTGAACCATTTGTTTTCTTATTTGTTCTCTATCTTTAAGACTTACTTGAACCTATCGACCTGTTTATCTAAAGAATTTACTTGAATAAAAGAATCATCCTTGAAAAAAACACTTACAGTTTTAGCGATCTGATAAGTTAACTGTGAGAAATAAGTAATTTACATTTGGTGGCAACAAACATACACACCAGCAACAAACCATTATTAAGATAAACGTCTAGCAACTAAATGTTTTATTAGTAGTTTTTATTCGCATTAGAAGTTACCATGCTGATAGAAATCACTGTAAGTCACTTGTCTTTCTGCGTTTAATTTTTATACTCATCATAAACCTTAGCAATCACGTCATTCATGACACTGCACAACTATGCGCTAGTCTAAGTACTTTCGTTCGTATTTAGTACCAAAACGCCGAAAAATGAAACTAATAAAAGACGTCAAATAGTAAAATCGATGGTAGTGATATACCAAGCAAAATAAGTATTGTTAAAAGGAGCAATTACATAGAGGGAAGTGGAATGTGTAGGACACGTACGCGTTGAAAGCCCAAATAGCAATAAAAAACTCATTGTATTTGCTTTTTCATAACATATTTTGAGCCGTGTTACAGAAATTCAATGACCATTAATTACAGTCAATAACCATCCTTAACTAAGAAATCTGAATTTTAAACTGATGATCAGCTTCATAGTTAATAAGTTCAAGTGTTGATACTTTCTTGCCTGTGCTACCAGTTTTCTAATCAGAACTACAACTACAAAGGCAGTTGTTCGTATATACTAAAACGTTTGATCATTATAGTCAAGACATTTCCACAGAATTTTTGATCAACTTTCAAACTGTGCCCATTAACCTACTCAAAACCTTAAAGTTACAATCTCAGTTTTGCCACTGTACTCAAAAAGGCTTTAATAAAATCTGTTATGCAGCATTAGGAAAACCTCTTATTTGAAAAATATTACTTTCAACAATTCTGAGAAAACCTATAGGTTGGAAAACATATGCTGTTGAAATTCGTTGACGATCTATTTACAATAAGGAGAACACGACATCAAATATCCAGTAAATAATTAAACTCAGCCAAACAAAACCAATTTGTAAAGAACTTACACTCCGTTTGTTAGATACAGGGTCATAACATCGTTGTAAATGATGGATTATCAATCATGACTTATGTGTTATCTAATGGCTGAATTCAAGTTTAATTTCAATTGCAACATTAGGAAATCACTATATATCACCTTACTCATTTAAAAAAATTAAAATACCTCATATGGTTGTCACTTTTCATTTATCCTTTCATTATTAAACGTGTAATTACTAACTACTTTAGCTTAGAAACACGGGTAACATAGAATATTACCTAAGCACTCATATGTAAGCGAACTTTAAAGTCTAAACACTTTAAAAGACTTAAGTCCACAATTGTGCTTTGGTTAATTCTAATGTAAAGACGTAAAGTTCATGTAATAAATTAAAGAAGGAACTGATTAATTTTATACTGAGTCTCTAAATCGTTTGTATCCTTTTTTAATACAATCACAGGAAAATTAGTTTGTAGACATAGAATTCCAAAGAATGATATCGGGGATTGTTACAATTGGCGTGATCTGAATCTTGGTACAAATCTGGCTATATATGGTCGAGTTTATCGCATTACAAACTGTGACAAGTTTACAAAGGTTTGTGAATATTTTAATGTAACTCAAATCAACCGTCAGTCAACTTACTTGTTGGTATCATATTAGTATGATCAATTAACGACGATCCATTTTGAAATATCTTTTACAGAAGGCTTCCTTCATGTTTCTTGCATCATGATATATTTTTGTTCAATACTTATGGAACAATTAAACCGAAATTATGGGGATACATCATTAGCAGCTATCCACAAAAGGCTGAATATCTAATCACTCAACTTTACATAATCTTAACTATTAACAACGTCCACAGTTTTGATGACATTTTTCAGGAAAGCTGAGGGTTTTGATGATTATCTTATAAATATATTATGGTATAATTACAAACAGTTAATTGGAACACAGTAATTTATAGTGATCTACTTGTCCTTTTTAAATTAGGATAAAACCTTCCTTTAGGTACAAGTTAGATATTCAGAGTAATCTTTTGCTACGAGCACAAACGTTTATTTAGTTGAAGTATGATACTTGATATAAAAATATAATAATCAGTTCTGTTTGAATTTATTTTTGAATTTGAGAAACTAACATTAAAATACCACTTATTACTAGGTTGCCATTTGAAGACAATAAACGAATATACATATCATCAATTAGACCCATGTATTTGCTTAGTTCTTTTCGCCAAAACTATTTTCTAAACCCGTACAATCGTGATTATAGTCAGTTAGAACATATAATTCTGTGGTAAAACAGAAAATTACTACATCATATGAAAGGTGGTCGGAAACGTTTTGAGATTACAAAATTATGTAAAAACTATAATGGAAATTCATTACACATGGAAGTCAACTGTTAAGTTGAACAATATTGTGAGACAATACATTCTCACTTGAATTGCCTTTCTTTTCTTTCTCAATAACTCTATACATTTCTTTTATTATTTAATACTTACTAATTAAATTTTTAAAAAATCGGACAGTGGATATATAACAACTTACATGCACTAGATTGAAAACTAAATATTACATAAGCAAAGATGGTTAGTACGTAGCAGTGGGATGCAGGACGCGCGTTTCATCTTATGCAGGTACATCCAGCTGTCAAGTCCCAAATAGAACGAAACGCGCGTCGTGGATTCCACTGCTAGCCACTATCCATTTTTGCATATAAAAAAGCTTGTGAATTAAGGTAATATCGAGGCATACGCACACTATGCACATATCTCAATAACAGACTGATCGACTGCAGTCTTAAACCTCAATGGGAAGATACAGGCAAAACAATACCAAGTGAATTTAAATATTACATAGTTTATTAAAATTCACTTCATAATTTTCAAATATGTTTTTAGGACTTTTTAGAGAGCGAAGGAGTTATTGTGAATGAACCTGAACAGGAACCAATAGATCCATATTTGGCTGAAAGAGCTAAACGTGAAGCTATAGCTCTTGGCAAAACACCTTCATCCTTTGATAAACGACGTCAGTATCTCGAACTTGATCGTAAGGTTTTACGATTTTACGCCGTACAGGATGAACGACATGAAATGTTTGGTGAATGTCGTAAATTTATTATACATGTACGTAGATAATATTTCATGAGATGATATTTAAAGTAACATTTATCATTAAAAAATTCATTTTCTCAGTTTGACTATTTTTTAATATGGTAGAGCAGAAAAAAATGTTAGTTATCATCTTAAACTTTAATGTTAGGTTTCTGATTTTTGTAACTTCTTCTAAACATACACATCACCATAGTAACATCATTTAGACAGATTGGAATGTTTACGGGTTCATTTGAGATCCAATTCATCAGTGACTTAAACGAAGAAATTTTTAGGGTCAGCCTATAAACGTTTACAAAAAAAGTGTTGACAGTTTACTAAAACATCAAACTATTCAACTGACCTCTTATGTTTAGAAGTCAACTTAGGCTATCTTGCTTCAATCTTTCCAGTCATCAGTTTAGTTTCTTGAGTTGAATGCCGTTAAATATATTCCTAAACTGTTTTAATTTAAATATGGTTGGTCAACGTTTCGTTATTCAAGTTAATTTTCTTGATTGCAAAACATACTGACCAAACAAGATTATCTTCAACTATTACATGTAATTCGAAATATTTATGAAGAAATTTATTTCCAAACTAAGTATTTTCCCTCATAACCTCAAGTGGCGTCTGACAGGGCTTTCCACCGTCTCCATTTCTGTCTAATTTCATCATAGACCTACTTCAGGAAATAATTTTCTCGTCGTCTGAATTTTTGTGAATTTATCTCGTACCAGGAGGTCCACTTATGGACTTAGAATACGCCGATGATATAGTCCTGTCTGGTTAAAACGCTGATAAAATACAAAGTTTTTTGGTAGCACTGTGCAACAATGCCAGAACGTTCGGAATGCGTTCCTCTCCCTCTAAATGCAAGTTGTTGCTTCAGGACTGGCCTGCGTCAACGCCTGAACTAAGGATATGGAGTGAAGAAGTCGAAAACGTCGACAACATCACTTAACTTGGAAGTTCGATCAGCCCTAATGAGCTGGTGTCTGACGAAATATCTGTACGGATTCAAAAAGTTCGTTTGGCTTTTTCCAACTTACGTCACCTATGACGAAGTCGAGATATCCGTCTATTAATTAAGAAACAAGTATACTGAGCAACACTTCGTTCTGTTCTACTTTGCGTCTGAGAAACGTGGTCATTAAGAGCAGAAGATACTCGTTAGTTATTAGTAATTGATTACAGATGTCTTAGAAATATTGCTCGCATCTGCTGGGATAACCGAATAAGTAATAGTGATTTTATACGCAGGGTATTAGGGAATGGTGGTAAATCAGTTGATGAGGTTGTGACTCTTCATCGACTGAGATGGCTGGGCCACGTGTTACGTGTATCTCAACACTGATTACCACGACGCGCAATGTTGACTAGCGTTGGGGATGGTTGAGAGAAAGTTAGGGGTGGCCAAACCAAAACGTGACATCGGTGCTTGAAGTCATTAACTTCTATTCTGAACCATGTTGGTAGATGCAAACTATTTAGTTGGGGTTTGCGTGATTATCTTAAACAATGGTTGGAAACTGAGTGATATGGCTTAGAATCGATCACAATGGCATAGGTGTATACACTCTTCCTATTTTCTTAAACCATGAGATTAACATCGCTTCACATCTTTTTTTTACGAACTAATTCCTTCTCCATTTATCATATCCAATGCATGAAATCTTTCTTTTATATATTACTACCTTTGAAGTAACTGCTTCTATGAACTCGGTGTTCATCTTGTTGTGCTAATGAGGTGTGGTAACTTGAACCGATGCATATATGTGCCTGGTCTTACGTTGTAGCTGATTGACTGACTGACATATCATATAGATATGATTCAAAACAGGACAAAAAATTAACAAAAATCTTTAAAGAATTCATGTGAAACAGTCGAACTAATAGTCGTCACAACGGAGTTCTAAACGTGAGCTAGTCAAACTAACAATCTGTGTACGTCAACACTTCTGTACAAGATAAAATAAGTTTAATAGAAATAAATTAAATACATATTCATATCAATAAATTATTTGTAATGCATATTTGCTTTCTCTTTTTGTGAAATTCTTATCAACAATTGTAATGAATGAAATAAAAATCAGTATTATTTAGCTGATGACACTTTGGAAATACGTGAAATTCATACAGCGAATGATGGTCGTGATCCATTCCCCTTATTATTGAGACGTGAAAGAATACCAAAATGTCGTGATACTATCCCTCAATCATTTCCAAGTGTCAGTATGGAAATAACTGGTAATTTACGTTGTTTTTGTCATGAAAATTGGTAATTTTCACCACTTTCACATGTAAGATCAATTAAAAAGAAGTATAACTTTAACCACTCATGATAGCTGTGAAAAAGTTTATTAAAAGTGAAGGAAGGATAATTTAAAACGTAGAACTATGTTTTCGCGTAAATAAATCAAATGATACAATATATTAATAATTTATAATTCCATTGTGGTTTTACACTGCCTTACCGACACATTCAATATAATGTAAAATGAGGCCATTGATTATTTATTAGCTATAGATTCAGAAAGTTTTAATGATCACTTTGGTGGTCCCGAAATATAAGTTGGAGTTGAAAAAAGGCTCAGCAGGATTTTAGTTCAGTGTGGTATTTAGGAGTGAATGTGTTAAGCATGTTCAACCGTTAACTTATTGTAGTAATATCTCAAGAGCTCTAATGATTTGGAGACTGAAGAGTTATCAACAATGATCCAAACTGCTCGCGCAGCTTTTCACAAACAAGATATCAGTTTATTTCACTCTGTTCCTGTATAACACAGCTTCTGTCGGTTGAGAATATATATAGATTGTTAATGTTTGATTATCTATACACAACCATTATAAGCCGTAGCATGTGAATATCCATGGGGTAGTCGAGGTAAACAGTAATTTAGCATGAAAAACACATGTTTCAACCACCTTAGTTAGTAAGGACTCACGCTAAATAATCAAAAACCTAACTCATAAAACAAAGACTTCTACTACCAAATACATTGGTGATTTAATAGACAGACATCTATCTCTAGTACACCTTTACAACGTGTAAGTCTTAAAATGTTAATTGAGATCTTCAAATACGTTTAAAGTTTGTCATCAGCCTTCAGCCCGTTAGTGTTACTAAGACTTCCAAGATAAGTGAGATGGTCTCCAGTTTCGATTATTTCAGTACTTAAGATTTGTGATATCTTCGATCGATCACTTCCTTATAGCGGGAACGCTTACCCGACATGAACTGATATTCAGTACTGAACTAGAGCTAAAAGCTCATGAAGCCATTGATGAAGAAGATTATCTGGGACCAAATTACTTAACATCAGAATACATATAAAAATCCATTTATGATAGATTAGTATTTTTTTTCCACTAGACTTAGATATTTTATACTTACAGACCATATATTGTTCACATAGTGATTTTCTTCTCAATTTTCGATTTATCCCAATATAATTTACTTAATTTTTTCACGTTTAAGAAAATGAAGTGAAAGAATATTTCTCACCGAAAGATTTTCATATTGGTCAATCAGTTAATATTCTTGGTCGGAAATATTTAATATATGATTGTGATAATTTTACAAAAGCATGGTATCATAATAATTTTGGATTAACAGAATTTACTCCATTAGATATAGAAATTAAACAACCGGAATTACCGAAAAAGGTTAGTTAAATGTATATAACCTTTGTGTAATTATGTATATACAATTTCATCAATGAACTCATCAAGAATTGAACAGTGGACCTATTAACCTCATTTTATTCATAGTACATTGAGTTGAATTCTAGTTAATTACAATTTTAACTTTAATCAACTCAAGATAATGTGTGACCAATGTTAATCATCATCATTCTTCATAGCTGTCAATGATACACTCTATTTTCTTTGGGGTTTCGATAGCTTTTTATTTTATCTTGATATACTTATAAAGTACAGCTACTTGGTTTACTTTATTGTTCTACTACATCTTCAAATATTTCCCATTTACTAAGTTTTAGGTAGAACAGCCGATTCATCATTGAACTTAACCAGATAAATCAACTATAGATAATAAAGATTAAATGTTAACCATTTTATTTCAAAACCCCTCATTATTACAAACAATAATGATTATAAATAAAAATTTTAATTGATACTTGCAGTTTATCAGTATAATATAACTGTCGACTAGTATTTGTTCAATATGGAACTTTAAAATGAGTCAATACAAATCATACTACTTAATGACAAAAAGTACTACAGATTGTCGTAAGCACTTGAAGATAACCACGTCATTGTTAAAAGGCTTACTGTCATAATTCCTCTTGGATTAGTTATACCTTATAAAATCGATGTATGAGTAGTATGAATGGTTGATCCTTACCATAAAACTTAACAGAATAATAAAATGCTGCATTTCACTACGTTTTATGTTATTCTATCATTTACAGCTACATAAAAATTGATGGTTCCTCATTTCCATGATATTTTTGATAAATTTCTACTGTTACAAATGGTTTGTAAGAACTAAAACACTTTGTTGTATTATCAATTAATGAGACATAATGAACCCATCTGTCATAAAATCCAAAGCCTATCTTGTTACAACATAAAATATAAGTTTTTATTGAAGTAAATATTTGAAGTACATAAATAAAGTTCATTTTTAAAAATTTGACGTGTATACATAGGAGAACATTATTTTTTAAACTTGAATTACATTCTTCTTAGGTAACTTGTTGTTTAACAAACTGGTTCAAAGTTTTATAGTTGGTACACGATAAAAACATAAGTCTAAAATCAATGACAGTTCATTTTATATGAACTAAAACAAGTCACTTAATATTGAATAGTCAACTTTGATATTCAAAACTAATAGACTAGATATAATATATAAGAAACTTTGACCTATTTTAAACAAATAGTTTCACAATAGTTGAGACCCTATTATATGGAAAACAGTAAAAAGAAATTAAATCAGCAAAAGTCTTGGTGACGGAAATTAAAATTTTGTTTGAGTCTGCCTTTGGTAACCATGTTTTTATTCATCACAAACATATATATATATGTACTAATCCATTTATTCATTCTCAAACCATACATGCTCAGACTAGTGGCTAACATTCAGGACATTCAGATAGTAGCCAGGACTTATGTATGCCCAGTGGTTTTCAAATTTAATCCGGGTAAATAAACGCATTTCTTCATTGACTACAGTTAAAATGCATCTCACACCAAACATTCTCATTTTAAAAATTCATATTTAACATAATTCAATACTCTTTTAATATACTTTTGTTTTATGATCTTATTTATATTGGATAATTTTGATTTCTCGCTACTTCCTTTAAGAAGCACTTACAAAATTTTCAAATGAAACAGATTTATTTTTAATTTTAAACGCTGAGATTTTTTTACAAATATAATTTCATTTTTAATGGATGATTTTGCGGCTTACCATTTATTAAAGTTAATTCTACGAGAAGTTATTTCTACTTTATATAGCTAAGCAGTAATATATCTGACGACTATCCTATGATAAATGGATTTCACTTTTAGATAAGATAGTTAGTATAGTTTGTTTTAGAGTGTTGGTAAATACAAAATCTAGGTGTACAATTTATTATCAATCTCTATGATGTGTTTCTACTCTCGTAATGGAGAAAAACGTGATTGGAAACATCTTTGACCAACTTGGAAGATACTAATATTTCAACTCTAATGGTGGAATTTCCAGCCACTTAATGGTGAAAATTCAACGAATAGTCTCATCACGCTATATAATGAGTTCACTAGTTCGTAAGACTTTTATCCAGTTGTCCAAAGGTTATACCCTTGCCAAGACATTTGAAGGTTCTAGATCTAATTCTATGTTAGCTAGTGGGTGCGATCTTTTGAGAGTCTCGAACCAATATTCAAAGAGATAACTCAAACGTTTACTAATAATAATATGAACATTATGCTTGATGAACATGGTAATAGCTATCTGGACCTAGTAGCTCAATGAATATCACATTGGTTTCTTTAGCGGAAGCTTATGGCTTTGACTTCCAGTATGAATACTAAAATGGGTGCAAGTACATAGAACTTATGCGTCTCATACATATCACGCACTCCACTGCTACCCATAATCCACTTTCTCTCATTATTTATTTACACTTAATGTTTTCAGTGTATTTTCAACACTTTCTTTTCCTCGTTAACATAGGAAATTCCACCATATAATGGCTTTGGAACAATTGAAGATAGTTTAGTATCTACAAAATCATTCATTTTAAAACCTCCAAAAGTTGATTTCGCAAAACAAGTGGATTATGCACAAAAAGTGTTAAGATATGAAGCTCGTTTAGTAAGTATGAAGGAATATCATTATTTTTAAAAAATTGTTGAATTGTTTTTCATTGCTATTTGACTTACTTTTATAAAGTCTAACAATTTTTCTCTTGAGGATACTCCATTATTTCTTGACAATTTCTTTTGTAAACTTTATACGAAAGATGTGAAAGAGGAATTTTAATGTTGATATTAAGAAATAGTATCAAGCTATGAGATAAGTGAATTGTGTCATTTTCGTGAATTTATTTGTGTAATTAGGTCTAAAGCTTTCCAGCATAGACGTTAGTAAGATAATAAGTATGGATTGAGTAAGGTGATTGGGGCGTGAGTTTTATATGGCTCGTTGATCTGACTCCAATTTGACCGAGTGACAATGCTAACGAAATATTTATCCCGGCTACCTTTGTACGCAATTATCAACTTAATGCGCGTTAGTGAATAACGGAATAAAATAAGTCAAATATGAGAATGAATTTCGGATACGTATATTTCATACAATCGTTGATCCAGGCAGACAATCAAGGAAACACAGCGGAGAAGCAGGCCGCAGAAGGCAAGGGTCCTGAGTTAATTTGATAAAGCGTAACTCAATATTTATAGTCAGACAAAAATAAGCTAAATATATTTGATGAATAGAGCAAGCGATACACGCATGCGCTCACATAAAAAGTCAGGGTCAGTAAGCGAATGATTGACAAAGTCAAAATGTAACTTGAGAAAAATGAATTAATCGGTCTGTCCAGAAACTAGAATAACCAATGTGTTACTCTACTTCCTATTGAAATGTCTGAAGTTTATCATCGTGGGATTCAGTTAAAAGAGGAAGGATCTTTTGAACTAAACTCGTTAAAATGGCTGGGGATTAGTTACATGATGTCAAGTCATCTAAGTTTATCATGGTTAGTGGTTACGGTCATGTTTTCGTTCATCTAGTCACTCAGTTGTAAATATTTTGGAATACTCCTTATCTTAGAATTAATTGGAGGTATTACTATTGGAATGTTGTAACTTTTTTCCATCGTGACTGACTGCGCTGCACTTGACACGTCCGTAGCATGATAGAGTGGTATGTTGTTCGTAGAAAACTTTACATTTTTGTGTAAGCTAGTGAAAACTACAGAAGATGAAACACGTCCTCCATCATGAATTACAACAGTGGTTTGTTACTAGCTGCAAGGTCAACATTGCGAACGAGAGTGTTCCTAACTGTTACCTTAACTTGTACAGAGTGATGCTTTACTTTGTTATAAGAATGTTAAAGATATTGTAAATTAATGATTTAAAAATCTTTGACGAATTTATTGATAAGATTATAAAGCATAATTTATTTCCCATCTAAATAACTGTCTTTTCCATCCACATTCACTATCCTTTTTTTAACAAATAGATTTCCATAAAAATTGAGGATTATTACATGATTTTGATCATAGCTAAAAAGCAATTTTTGTGTATTGTATTAAATATTTGGATTTTCTGAACTATCTCCTATCTATAATTTAAGAAAATAACTGTTTATTTAAGCCTCGGACATTCGTAAATGTAAACCCCTTTTATGTGTACAAAAACCATTTGTCGTAACTGTTATGATTTTATATCCGGCCTTTTTACCACAGGATCTACCCACCAATCAGAATACGACTTATGCGAATTTTCACACTATGCCAAACCAACGACGTTCAAGCGGTATGAGCAGTTTAGCGTCCTTATTGGTCCTATGTCCTTTTAGCCCTTCCACTTGAGTCCAGAACACCAATACCAGCTCCCACTATGCGAATCGATTCGAATCATTTATTTCAGACATACTGAGCTTATATATCAACCAAACAGACCGCAACGCACCATAAAATACGAAATAACATTTGTACACAATTAAGCCCAAAAGTGACTGTGAACGTGGGAGGCAGTAGTTAATAAACTGAGCATAATTTAGGGACAATAAATCGTACAATAATAAATTATAGGTCAAAATAAAGCTTATAATAAGAAGAATATAAATATACAAAACATAATTATTGAATAATTATACAATAAGAATATTTATAGAATATTAGTCCATTAATAGTCCTCGGAAGTTACCTGTAATTTAATCTTCAGTAGGATGTAACAGTAACCCTGACTTTACCCTGGTAATCCTTAAGTCATTTTCTGGCCTAGGATAATGAGACAATTTCATATTCTTTCTATACGATGTAAAATGTTTCTCTTCCCTTTGAATTATTATTTAATTGACCTTTATTAATTTTCATATAAAATGCCTTGACAAGTATATGTGTAACCAAATTGTTCGAAATGTATAACACAAATACATTACACTTTTTAGATCAACTCCATCTTCTAATTGCTCTATCAACATTTATAAAACGTATCAATTGCTTTAAATAATCGTTTAGTTTATATTCAAATGATAATCTAATTTCGAAGTCACTATCAAAGTTCATTGTTAAAATAAAATTTCTTATTTCATCTTTACCAAACTGATTCATCTTTGAGTAAATATTTTGTTGTTGTTGTTGTTGTTTTCTCTCATAAAATTCGCTATTATAAACATCTAATAATCATGGATCATTTTCAATGATAAATTAAGTTTTGTATTTTCTGATTGTGAATTTCTGTTGTGCTTTCTTTTTTGATACTCTTACTGTATAAATTCTTTTGTTTTATTGTCTGCTATGAATAACTGCTTATTTATGCATGTACATGCCAGTTCAAATGACAGGAAAACAAGAGAGAAAAAAGACAGAATACATTAAACAAGAAGTAAAATGCGGGTTACAATACAATGTTTTGGTTGTTTTTATTATAATGATCATTTCATAATAATTAATTTTGATAGTAAATTTATTAGTATATAGTATGTCTTTACTAATGTATCACCATAATACGAAAGTCAGTCAGTAACAACGTAGAACTTCGTACGTACGTACGTCAGTTCGAGTTGCCATACCACATTATCACAGAGATGCAGCTGTCGATTCAAACCCCGTCGTGGCAGAGGTAGTAAGAGTACAAGCAGTAATCGGGAAGATTAGTGTTTGGAGATGTTATTTAAGAAATATAATCCAGTAAAATAAATTTGGGAAGAGAAAAAAGAGACAAGGAGGAATCAGAAGATTAAAACTTGGGAGAAAACAAAGAGTGTATGCACCTGCGTCATTGCAAACGCTTTTAAGCCATGTCATTCAGGGTCTCTAACCATCGGTTGCTTTGATCATTATAATTCAATTTTATTCAATGTTACTCCTCTATGAAGGGTAACATGCGTAAGTAAGTAAGTACAAGTTTATGTAATCAGTTTTGAGTTACACTGTTTTCTTCAACACTAATGATATTTTAATAGTTGAGACCATTAGTCAATGGAAGGTAGACCACCATGGAAAACGTGGAAGCACTGGACGGCCGCTTCGTCCTATTGTGGGACTCTTCAGCACTGCACATCCACGACCCCGCCTCGCGGAATTTGAACCGAGAACATATCAGTCTCCCATGCAAAACTGTTGATACTAATCAATATATGCTCACTAGTGACTGGCTTCAAGATTTACATTCTGGAGTTCTAGTGAGAAGCAGTGAACAGTAGGGTTCAACCAGGTCTGTTGTGAGATAGTAATTCACTGAAGACAACGGTGGATGTGTCGCTCGATTTCGTGGATCGGTTGAAGTTAGACATTAACAGCGTTGGATACCGGTCGGCTCAGTGGTCTAGTGTTTAAGCCTTCGCGCGCAAGACTGACAGGTCCTAAGTTCGAATCCCGCGAGGCGGGGTCGTGGATACGCACTGTTGAGGAGTCCCACAATAGGATGAAACGGCCCTCCAGTGCTTCCAGGTTTTCCATGGTGGTCTAGCTTCAACTGACTCATGATCTCAACCATTGAAATTATATACAATAGTTGTATATCTAGCACTTCAAGTTTATCATATTTTATCCCCTTCCGCAGAAATCTTAAGCAGATATTTATTTCTCAACTTTGTCTGGTAGATTGTTTTGTAACATGCTTCGACATCTCTTCATAATGTTTAGTTAATTTATGAATATGATTTTCTTATTCCAGTGGAATGAATTTATTTGTTATGATGGAGATTATGTCACTTTATTTTAGCTTGTGATATACCCCATTTCTATTGACTTACTTATCGAGTAAGATAATATTAGTGTATTTAAACAATTTAAACAATCTATTTAATTGTTTGTGAGATATTCTATCTAATTCAGAAGGATTTTTCAATATTCGGGTTTCCTCAAACTAATGTATATAAATTCTCTAAACTTTTACTCTGTTGAATATTTTCTTAAATCTTATCCATAGGTTTTTAAAATTCATTCATAAGCACAGTAAAACTATAGGTAATCAACTGAACATACACTTCGTCTAGATCTACATATATGAAATACTGTAAATACGGCAAATGGTTTAAGTTACCAAAATGTTATGTTTAAGATAAGTTGAGGGTTCAAACTAATTTTTTATCACTGTGCAGTTCAGCTATCGCACACTTAACAGCAACTATTTAAAATAATTGAAGAAGTCAACTAGGTTTTCGACTGAAGACCTCGACTGAGTATTGTATGGCAAGTGTGGTACATCAGATCAAGAAAGTAAATAGATTTATTCATAGTGCTTGAAGGTAGGATATATTGACTAGTGAATTACTTACTTACTTACTTACTTACTTACTTACTTACTTACTTACTTACTTACTTACTTACTTACTTACTTACTTACTTACTTAGTTCCTACTTACTTACCTGCTTACGCCTGTTACTCCTGATAGAGCATAGGCCGCCGACCAGCATTCTCCAACCCACTCTGTCCTGGGCCTTCCTTTCCAATTGGATCCAATTGTTGTTCATTCTCCTCATTTCTGTCTCCATTTCTCAGCGTAATGTGTTCGTTGGTCTCGCTCTTCTCTTTTGGCCTTCAGGACTCCATGTGAGGGCTTGTCTTGCGACGCAGTTGGGTGCTCTCCTCAATGTGTGTCCTATCCACTTCCAGCGATTCTTCATGATTTCTTCCTCCACTGGAATCTGGTTTGTTCTCTCCCACAGTAGATTGTTGCTGATAGTGTCCGGCCAGCAAATCCAAAGTATTTTGCGTAGTAGCTGTTAATAAGCACTAGTATCTTCTGAATGATGGCTTTCGTCGTTCTTCAGGTCCCCTCCCCATACAGTAGAACTGCCTTGACATTTGTATTGAAAATTCTGAATTCGGTGTTGGTTGAGAGTTGTTTTGAGTTCCAGATTTTCTTCAGTTTTGAATATACTGCTCTTGATTTGCCGATTTGCGCCTTCACATTTGCATCAGATCCACTGTGCCTCCAAAGCTTCTCTGTCGAGTGTGATTTGATTGGTGCATGCTGTGTTGTATTTGAAAATCTTGCTTTTCCTTTTGTGTATGTTGATACCTACTGCTGCTGAGACTGCTGCTACACTGGTCGTCTTCCCCTGCATTTGTTGTTGCGTTTGCGATAGAAGGGCCAGATCATCTGCGAAGTCCAGATCGTCCAGCTGCATTCTAGCTCTCCACTGTATCCCATGCTTCCCCTCGGATGTTGACGTCTTCATGATTCAGTCTATCACCGGGAGAAAAAGAAAGGGTGAGAGTAAACAACCTTGCCTAACTCTCACAAAAAACGGTAACCAGAAAAATTGACAAGTGAATACTATTTTCGAATTCACTAGCTGATACATTTACATCAAATCTTATCACAAGTTGCCACCACAATTTATTCTTCTAAACTACTTGCACACAATATCATTTTTAAAAACCTATGAAATCTCCAATTACAAAATTTAGCTTAAAATATTTTCGTATATTTTTGAAAAATTTACTTTTCAGTAGGTAATTTGTTCCTTCAGTCAAATGCTTAAATTTCCATCTAAATTATTTTACTTACTTTTCTTACTCTCAGGGCAGAGTTTAAATGGTTTGAGTTATTTTTTTTTCTGGTTAGCGTTTGTTTTTATCGAGTTAGTTTACTACGGGAATGGGGTTGATAGCCCCATGTCTAACCCTCCTCCTTTATCCGGTCTTGGGACCGACCGTAGCCCGGTTCATATTTAAAATAGTTAAATTTTAAATTTTCAGTGAGAATATAATCTACATTTAGTTTATTATTCAAATAATGGAATTGAAAATTAAAAGCATTTCAATGTCAAACACTATTAACTATATATCTATCAATCTGTATAATACCTTATAAACTATTTAACATTTAACATTGAAATGAATATTAACACATTAAATGTGGATTATTAAATCCATTCAAACAAATTTAAACTAAATTAATTAGTAATTGAATAAAATTGAAAAGTCACGTTTACTAAATTAAATTTTTACATTCATTAATTTGATTTTTATTTTTTTTAGAAACACACCCTTGTTTTAATTATTTATTTTCAAATAGTTTATTATTCATTGTCTATTTTAATGGTTCAATTTTATGATTAATTCATTTTGTTTTATTAATTAGATCATTTAGTTTGACTTATTAGAAACTATTATGGAACATTCAATTTAACAATATAGTTTTTGTTGTCAGCAACTTTATAATGAGATATGCTCTTTGTTGTGACTTATTTACTTACTTACACCTATTACTCTTTGTGGAGGAGCATAAGCCGCTCACTAGCATTCTCCATCCAACCTTGTCCTATGCAATTTTTTCCAGCTCTTTGCAGTTGTTATTCATCCTTTTCATATCTGAATCTATTTCTAGAAGTAATGCGTTCTTTGACCTTCCTCTATTCCGCTTCCCTTGAGGATTCCAAGTTGGGGTTTGTCTGGTGATGCAGTTTGGTGATTTGCGTAATGTATGCCCTACCCATTTCCATCGTCTTTCACTAATTTTCTTCTTCATCTGGAAGCTGGTTTGTTCTTTCCCACATTAGGCTGTTGCTGATGATATCCTGCCAATGGATGTTGAGTATTTTGCGTAGACAGCTACTTATAAATACTTATATCTTCTTGATTATGGTTGTAGTAGTTGTCCACGTTTCAGCTTCGTAAAGCAGAACTGTTTTGACGTTAGTACTGAAGATTGAGACTTTGATATTGGTTGAAAGTTGTTTTGAGTCCCATATATTCTTCAATTGTAGGAATGCAGCTCTTGCTTTGCCGATCTTCGCCTTTACGTCTGCATGTGATCCTCTTTGTTCATCGAAGATGCTTCCCAGGTACGTGAAACATTCCACATTTTCCATAGTTTCGCCATCAAGTGTGATTGGCTTGGTGTTCTCCGTGTTGAATTTGAGGACCTTGGCTTTCCCCTTGTGTATGTTGAAGCCTACTGATGCAGAGGTTGCTGCGACACGAGTTGTCTTCGACTGCATTTGTTCGTGTGTATGGGATAGGAGGGTTAGGTCATCTGCGATTGTGACTTTAGGGCCGGCCTTTTAATACATGATTTATCTGCCAATCGAAATACGACTTATTCAATCTTAGTACTATACCAAAACAATGACGTTCGACTGGTATGAGCAGCGTAGCGTCCTTATTATTCCCTTGTTCGCCTAGCCCGACCAGTTGAGTTCAGAATGCCAATAACAGTTTCCACTATGCAAATCATTTATTTCAAACATACTTGGTTTAAATACCAGCCAAACATACCTCATCCCATCATAAAATAGAAAATAACATTCATACATGATCAAGCCAAATAGTGGCTGTGAACATGGGAGACTGTAATCAATAAACTCAACATAACTTATGAACAGTAAATCGTATAATATTATTAATCTATAGGTCAAAGTGAAGTCTGTGATAAGAGGAATAAAGATATACATAATCTAGTTACTGAATAATCATACGATAAGAATATATATTGAATACTGGTTCATTAATAGTTCTCAAAAGTTGCCATTCATAATTTTTGTCGGGATATAGCACTCGAAACATTTTCACTAAATGTCTGGTTCTTTATTTCTCCCATGAATATTTTTCAACTGATTTCCTTAAACATATACGTAGTCAGATTTGAGGTCTTACATCTTTAGGAAGTACTTAAAACTAATGATCATCGAACAAAATCTCTGTTTTAGTATTTATCTTTTCTTCTTAAATCAAGAGTAATTTTTTTAAAGCCAATAAATCAATTTATTTCTATCGCCCCATTGATAAGGTTTGTAGACACATTAAACGGGAAGAATTTTCAAACGTTTAGAAGTTCTTAAACATTGATCTTCTTAGTTTTCTTTCTGACTATACAAAACAGGTTGTTGCCTAAACTAGTACTTTTCCACAATATATATATATATGCTTCTGAAGATGGTTCCAATCGTTTAAAAAATCTTTGAGAATCATCAACTAATAGATAGTCAGTTACTTTCTGTTATTGTTTGACTTCTGATGAATAACTAAATTAGGATTGGGATGAACAACAGTAAATTAAAATAGCTTACCATAGTGAATAGTGAATCAATTACCATGAATTTTATCGTAAGCATTATTGAAATGTCATAATTAAACAATGATTAAGGATTCATATTATTTATATTAGTGTTATTACAAAAAATGTTTATTGTTTTAAAATAATGTTGTTATGACTGTTTAATTTTACTAGACTGTCTGATATTTTGTTTAAAATGATTGAAAAAAGTAAAAATGTTCAAATATGTTTATGTTTATTTGCTAACAATCATGAACATACACGGAGAATCTCCTCACATCATTCTGGAGATAGGATCTTTGACTTAAGAAAAACTTAAAGATCTTTATCATAAGTTATGTTTATGTTCGTTTCTAACCTTATTATCAAACTTGTTACATTCTTCTTAGGAAAAAAAATATTTCAAAAGATTCAGATCATTTTTGAGAATATGGTACTTCTATATTGAATGTATATTAATTAACTTATGTGTTCACTTATGTATTATAGAAGCTCGCATGCAATTAAATTTGTTCACATTTAATCTGGTTAAGCCCTTTTGTTATTTAAGGGATAGAGTCATCTGTACAATAACAATTTATCTATACTGTTGTACCTTAATTATTGTTACACTTGTATGAATATGTATACTTGGACATTGCTTACTGCCTACGCATATATATTCATTCTGTAAACCTTCTTTTAACCGCTTAATTGATTCGATGATTCATTCATTTCACTATATATATATGTACATTTTAATCCTGTTCACTTACTCGGTCACTCGCTTACCCGCTTGCCTTTCGGTACTATTCTTTCATACTTGCTTAGCGGAGCTGTCATTTTGGTTATCTTTGCGTGGTGCAATAATAAAGTTAATCAACACTTCGTATTTGCCTTCTGATTAATACACCGTTGGGATTTTATCAAGTGATAGTTATCAGGACGAACTGTATACGAAGTTTAAGGATTATATTGAATACCACCACAGTATATTTTGTATTTATTCCAAATTTACAATCCAAACATTCGACTTTAGTACTGTTGATTACGTTGAAATAGATGTCAGTATCATTTCGATTTTTATGTTTAAACACAAAAGTAACACAGAAGTACATCTAGTTTACCATATTAGTATAAAATGATGTATATATTAGATAAAATGCTTGAACATAATACTAAACTAAATTTCTAAATGATCTGCTTGTAATTAGAAATAAAATATCATAGATCTACTTTTATAAGAAACTACAAATAAAGTGTATGACAAAATGAACTTAGGTGTATGTACAAACTTTATTGATAATCCATTGGCTGTATATCTTGTGTGACAACATAAAAATGTTTCATCTTATGGAAATACATTATTTTTCATTTTTGTCCTTGTAGGATAGTTTTCGACCTGAAGATGCATATCGACGATTTATCATATCGTATCATCTGGCTGATGATATGATATCAATTTTTGAAACTCCGATAAGAAACTCTGGTTTCCCTGGTGGGACATTTCTCAAAAGATCAAGGTAAAACATGGATTAGATTGTTCCCGTAAATTTTTGATATTTTATCTAGTTGATAGTTTTGAGGAAGTCAGAGTACAGTTAGCTACATCAATGGTGTAGTGGCCTGAGATCTGACTCCAGGCAGGTCGTTTGCTGCTTTTATCGAAATATACATGTCGCCAATCCTCGTATATAATCATCTACTCAAATCACGTTGGTGAATAGCGGAATTAAACAAGTCAAATACGAGAATAGATTTTTGAATACGTATATTTCATACAATCGCTTAACGGAAATGAAAGCAAAACAAGCAATGGGTAAGGCGAATGAGTCAACTCAATTCATCCAAGCGTTAACCGACATTTATAATCAAACAAAAATAAGTTAGACACATTATGAGTAAGATACGTAATTAGCACACATACATTCATATAAAAGACAGGATTATTAAGCGAATAAGTGACAGGGTGAAGGTGTGGTTAGGAAGAGTTAATAGATTGATCTGTCCAGAGTTTAGAATAACCTGGGTGGGCTTGACACAGTACCAGCCCCTACATGTTTATTAATTAATAAGACGTTACTTGGTTTTCACAGTGCTTTTGGCTCAGGACGAACTATATAAGACACTGTAATGGATTGTAGGAAAATGATAGTGTTTTATGTAGACCAACCTACTTACCTTTATATCATTACGTCAGTAACTATATTATTTCGATTTAAGTTATTCACATGTTCGTGACCGATCATTTCACTAAATATTTCTCAATTATGTGAGTATATTGGGTCACAATTGGGGTGAAACTTTCAAGGTCTTCTTTTCGACGCAAGCCTTTAAGTACCTGAATTTGAAGCAAAGGGCCAAAATGGAGTAAATTGGTTTCATTTATCAAGTCTTGTTACTAATGCATGCTCTAAACTCTCCATCAGTACAACAAAATAGAATACAGATTTTTGTTTTATCATATAAGTGATACCCATAGTTAATATGTTTTTACTATGTCTAGGATCTTCCACACACCACATTTGTGTACCCTGAACGTAGTCAAAATAATAACCAGTTGATCGTTACACCTAACTCATGTATTTGACACCTCATAATCTCTGACCCTTATGTCTTACAAAGTTCTGTTTGGATTAATGAATAAAATAAAGTCAGTGACTGAAATTTAAAAGACTAATCCGCTGTGTTGTTTTTTTCTAGATCGGGTAAATAGTTCATATTCAGCGCTAACGATGTATACATCGTGCTTCGTTATGCTAATATTTAACTGTAAGTCGGCAAACGATGGGATCTGTAGCAACCTCTGTTGCTAAGATAAATGAATTGCTAATTACTGAAGTTTCTATGGTTAATCCAAGAGTTATGATGCACCATAATTCATTAAATGAACATTTAGAAATGAAGCTTATCGCTTTGAGAAGGTCTTTCCTGAGTATAGTATTATTCGATTAGTATATCTTTACTTAGTTAAAATATTTCCAAACATGTGCCACATATAAGCAATTAATAACACAATAAAGCACTTTCTAGTTCTTCACTATTTCAAGTTGATATTGAACATGGTTTATGAGGGACAACTACGAATAGAAATCTCTTTACGGTATCATATGTTCAAGAGACAGATTTACGTTAGAAGTAAACATCTACTAGTATCTAACTGCTGTAACACTAAAAAACAGTATGAAAAATTTCTGAGAAGGAAGGACGACATTGAAAGTGTGGCTAAATACAACAATAAAATTTCGATTATTTTGCCAGAATTTAATACTACTTTCATTACTTCCTAACGCCTGTTACCATACGTGGAGGAGGATAGACCGACAACCAGCATTCTCCATTCCAATATGACCTGGACAATCCATTTGACACTCACACCTTTGATGCATACTTCCATTTCCCAAAACATAGTGTTATTTGATCTTCCATTTCTCCATTTCCCTTCAGAGTTCCATGTTAATGCTTATTTCGCGATGCAGTTTGATGATTTCCACAATGTGTGTCCTATCCACTAACAACGTCTTTTCCTAATTTTCCCCTCAATAAGAAGTTGGTTTATTCTCACACACAGTAGGCTATTGCTGATGATATCCGATCAAAGGATAATTAGTGTGTTAAGTAGACAATTGTTTGCAAATACTTGTACATTTTCGATGTTGGTTGTGGTAGTTCTCCATGTTTCAGTTCAGTACAATGGAATTGTCTTGACGTTCGTATTGAAGATTCTGATTTTGATAATCGCTTGTAGACAGTTGTTTTGGTTTCGAGATGTTCCACAGTAGGAATGTGATCCTTGCCTTTACGTCTGCATTGAATCCTCAATGGTTCATCGGTGATTTTGAAAATATCATGTCTGTGAATGTTTCCACCTGTTCCAGAGTTTCTCCATCAAGTTTGTTTGGTGTTGTCTATGTTGTAGTTGAGGATCTTGCCTTTACACATGTGAATGTTGAGGCCTAGTGATTCAGAGGCTGCTGCTGCTACTCTGGTTTCCTTGACCTGCATTTGTTATTATATATGCGATGAAAGGGTGAGGTCATGTTCGGTGTCCAAATCATCTAGTTGTATACAAGTTGTCCATGCACGACTCTGCAGTGAAGTTCGTCGTATGTAATCTGTATGATGTTGACGATGTTCTCAGCTACTCACACTGTAGTGCGGAAGATGATTCCATAAGTTCCTGCTATTCACACTGTCAAACGACTTCTCATAGTCAATGTGGTTTATGTTTGGTGACGAGTCGCACTCAATTGATTGTTCGACGGTAATATGTATTGTGTCCATTTGGTCTGTGCACGATTGATCCTTATAGAATCCGACCTGTTGATGTGGAAGTTGAGTGTCTACTGAATCTTTCATCAGGTTCAGCAACACTCTGTTGAAAACGTTTCGTCGTACCGATAGTATTGTGGTGCCTCTTTAGTTCTCACACTTGTTCAAATCTACATTATTTGGTATCTTGATGAGATATCCTTCTTTCCAGTCTAATGGCACTGTTTTACTGAAGAAAAATTTTTATCAGTGAATAGACTAAATTTCTGACGGTTCAGGGAATTTAGATAAAAAAAATTTATATCAAGTACACTTTCTGATAGGTCTTGCGAATTTAACGCTATATTCGCTTCCTAAGCTATTCTTTAATACCCAAGCTAGAACTATACAGCGAGCTGAACAACGAGAGAGAAGACTCAAATTATGCGAGTAGTAGTTTACTCAAAGGTTCATTTCAATACAGAAAATACAGGGTTTTTATAATATTTTAAATGTCCCTGGGTTGCTAGAAGATTCTGGAATGCTACTAAACATAGTAGCAATGTAGCAATCAGCCAATCAGTACCTCTGCATGTGACGTTTCACTTCCTTGATACTTTTGGCTAAAACTTCAAGTGAACGCTGAGTGAATGAAACGCTTCTTAGTGTTTCTTGATCCTTGCTTGTCTCTTGCAAGAAATATTCTGGATCACTCCAACACTTTCCTCGTAACGTTTTTTTAGAAATTTATTTTAAAATGTTTATTAACTGCCGAGAATAATCAGCTACGTACCGTTTAAATAACTGTAATCATTTTTAAAAAATATAAGTCTATTTTGTTCAACACTTGGACGTGAAACTAAATGAAATTATGATTGAACATTACAATATGTTCCCGCAACCCGCGGGATTCGAACCCAGGACCTACTGGTTTCGCGCACGAGCACTTAACCACTACATATTTCGAATCTCGCCAGAGGGGCGGGATCGTGGATGCGCACTGCTGAGGAGTCTTATACTGGGACGAAACGGTCGTCCAGTGCTTCCAGGTTTTCCATGTTGGTCTAGCTCCAATTGACTCATGAAATTTCTAAAATCTCCACAAACCGCTTCTGATAACATTACAATATGTGTTTAATTCTGTAATATAACCATAATAACGACTTAATCTTTATATTAAATAATTATTATTTTTCTTTAATTTATACTATGTGGTTATCTCCCATAATATTCTCTTCTTTAATACTTTAGAGTTATGAAACCTGGAAGTACATTAGATAATCCAATTTATTATGGTCCTATAGATTTTTCAATTAATTCAAAAATTGATATATTTGGTACACGTTTCATTATAACCGATGCTGATGAATATGTTCTTAAATTTCTTGAAGCTAATCGTGATCAATTTTCTGATGAATTAATTAATGGTTTACATGAACATTTAAATAATAAAGAAAATCAAACAACAATTAAACAACAGTTTCATCATAAAGGAGGTAATGTTGACTTTAAACGAGAGTAAGTTGAAGTTAAAATCAACAATTTATAATTTAAACGTTTCTATTAATAATTTCTCTTTAAATCTAACTAATAATGAATTGACTAACCTAGTTACTTTATAAATACACAATTGATAGATAGCATAAAAAATCTCACGAGATATACCAATCAAAACACTGGGGAAACCTTCCAAGTACATTTAATTATTCTGTATTATCCAGACTTGAAAACTTTTGTGATTGTATACGTAGAACAAAAGACTAAAACCTAAAATAAATATCAATGTGTACACATCTGACTAACAGATTTATAATTAATTTACTCTAATGTATGAACGGTAAACGATATTAAAAAAGGTTAAATCTAAAATGCTTACTTGTATACTATTAACAGGTGAACGTAAATGCATAACTAACATGAATTCACGAGTCAATCTAAGCTAGACCACCACTGGAAACCTAAGAGCACCGGACGGCCGTTTCGCCTAGTATTTGCACGCCTAGTGTTATATCCCAGCAAAGATTAAATCACGAGTAACTTCTGAGACATATTTATTGACTAATATTATCTATATATACTTATGGTGTAACTATTCAATAATTAGATTATGTATATTTATATTCCTCTTATTATAAGCTTTATTTTGACCTATAATTTATTATTGTACGATTTATTGTCCCTAAATTATGCTCAGTTTATTAACTACTGCCTCCCATGTTCACAGTCACTTTTGGGCTTAATTGTGTACAAATGTTATTTCTTATTTTATGGTGTGTTGCGGTCTGTTTGGTTGATATATAAACTTAGTATGTTTGAAATAAATGATTCGATTCGATTCGCATAGTGGGAGCTGGTATTGGTGTTCTGGACTCAAGTGGACAGGCTAGGCGGACATAGGACCAATGAGGACGCTATGCTGCTCATACCGGTCGAACGTCGTTGGTTTGGCACAGTTCTAAGATTGTATAAGTCGTATTTTGTTTGGTGGATAAATCACGTGATAAAAAGCCGGACATAAAGTCACAACACCTAGGCAGTGCGAATCCACGATCCCATATGAGGAATTCGAATCATGATTTACAGCTGATGGTTGGGGTTAGGAATTAAATTTAGAGTTTTCATGACCAACTAACATCAGCTATAATGCCAAGACTCTGCTTAGCCAAATGGATGAGTGAATCTGACTGGTTCATCCATAAATTATAGTCTTGCGGTCGTGACCAATGAAGTCTGATCCGTATAGGGTGTGAGACAGTTATCCATTTCAGACAATGGATAAAGAGTTGAACAAGACCATGGATTAATTGAAGTTAGACACTGACATCGTTGGATGCCAGCTCAGTGGTCTAGAGCTTAAGCGGTCGTGCGCGAGACCGAAGATCATGGGTTCGGACCCCGCACTCAGCATCATCGATGAGCACTTCTGAGAAGTCCCATACTAGGACCAAACGGTCACCCAGTGTTTTCAAGTTTCCAATGGTGGTGTAGCTTATGTTGACTCGTGAATTAGACCTAAAAATACTACAATCCCCATAAATCCCTTAAATTAGTATAGCCAGGTGGTTAGTCTATCCGATAGTACCCAGAATTTGCATTCAGTCAATGTTTAACATAAATATATGTCTTAGGGATATTTGACATATCGTCAAGAAATATGAATGGATTAGGACTAACGTGACCTAACATCTGGAAACATCCTAACAATTCTCAACGTTATACGATATGTTGCTCGGACATGTAGATGTATGAGGATATGTGTCCTACCTATAGTTTAAAAATACCAGATATCCAATGTTTATACCATACAATTGAATAATTTGTCTTTCACTAATTATATGAACTATGAAAACCAGTAATAACAGACTAGTTCAAATAGTACCATATAAAAATTCTGACGTAGTACATGTACTAGTTTGAAGAATTCAATGGTATTGAGCGCTAATGTTTTGTTAACTTTCGGTCACTTAAATGGAAAATGACCAGTTTTGAGTAAGTAAATTAAAGGGTAATACACGAACGAAATAATTTTGCGTGTACTCCTAAAATAGTCTATTTAGAAAATGCTGGAGAGTACTGGATTGGAATAGTTGGAAAACTATTCATTGTAAACAAAGTTTGCAGTTGAATTCATTTGATTGATGGTAGTCCCCGTACATGTTTCACTTAAGTGTCAGAGGACAACACAAAATCCTTTCGTGTTTACGTAAGTGTAAAACGAAACTTGTTGTAAGTTAATAATTAGTAAATGCGTTCAGAACTTGTGTGTTAAGTTTAATTTACAAACTCTATTATATTCAGTCAGATGAGGATTAGTACAGACATGTTAAATTCACACAAATGTACATCTATTTCAGAATACAGAATCTGATCGAGCATTTGACAGTCAAATGTACTAGTAATTCAGTTTTATTGTCTAAATTGTGCTCACTTGTATGTCTGATTCGATTGCCTATATTTATATTGTTGCGTAAGGATAAACATCTGTTCTCAGTGTTCAATTCAAATGCGATATTTGGCATTTTAAAACTTCGTTCATTTAATGTATTAGTGCTGGATATAAGAGTGCAATTTTCACTGGACATTTCATTCTAATTATCTAAAAGTGTTTACATGTGCCTTATATAAAAACTTCACTGTAGATCAACCCAATTTGCCATATGGAAAAAAAACAGATAAAGCAAAGTTAGAGCTTGAAATGAAATCTCCAGTCAAAACTATCATCTTATAAGCACCATTCATTCACCGGTACATGTCAGCTAATTTAATTACTTAAATATACATTCAAGAATATTACCATTCAAGTTCTTATTATAATTCATCATCAAGTAGACGGAAACAAAAACAATGATTTGGGTTGGTGCTATTTCTTAGCATTAATTAATTAAGTTTTACGTATTTTAAGCTGATGAGTCCTACAAAGCGCAATAGCTTAGTATATGATTTGCTGATTTTAGAACAACAATTGTTTTCAATTAGATTGTCATCGGGCTTTCTTCTAATATACATGAGCCTTTATACGTTTGACCTTCTATTTCCAAACTCGAACTATTGATAAGACTTTTGTTATCGTATTTTATTATTCTTACTACTATCAGTACACATGTCTTCCCACTATCAACTTGTACTTTTACCTATTATGTGCGGTGACGTGTCTTATTTCATTGTGATTTTTGACCCAAAGAGCCTTGATTGGTTTAACATTTTTGTATAAATATTCATGTATATTATATAAGGCCTGGTGAAGATCTAATTTAAAACAATTATTCGCTTACATGTGTTGTTTTTATTTGCTGATTTGTAGCTGGTAAATAAAAAAAATTTGGTAGACTAGTAATCGTTTCCTATTGATACTCCTATTGTTCAGAAATCCAATGACAAACAATGAGTCTCAACTACAAAGGTCAAGACAATTTCAGTTGTGCACATAATTGTGCACCATAACATATACTTGACAGGAACTAAGGTGACGGAGACTCTAAACGGCTTTGTTTTAATTGTTTTTGAAAATATGGTCACGTTCAAAGACAATGACGGATTAAATTATACAGCTAACACATCCAATCAGAGAGATTTCACTTCATTGAAGCTAACTGCGTATTAGGAAACAAAGCAAAAAATAACCTGTTTATCGAAACTAGTCCGTCACCAACTTTTATTGTGAAATAAATTGATATATAACCTTTTCCTCTACAGGACCTGGATCCTCTGATAAACAGACATTTTAGTGTATGTCCATTAATCTCAGTATGCATTCAGTTTTCTCAATTTTATGTGAGTTGAGAAACTGAAATTCTGTTTAGTTTGAATTATGAAACACACCGATTGATAGTAGGAAACAAGCTCTGTAATTACTTTCATTTCCATAGTCTACCTTACATCTCAGACGTGAATCACTCTGTAGTCTGTTTCATATCTTGTTGTAAACGTAATATTGTATTTACTGTAAACAACTTATATTCCTGTCCAATAATCAAAGCTAAGAAGTCAAATATCATCATTAATTTGCAGAAAGTAGCCACCGTACGATCCAGGTATGTGTTCAAGATGAAACTTCGACTAGGACACATTCACCTAAGTCAGAAATTTTTTTTATTCAGCAGTTTCTACTTTATTTATAATTAAATTAAGTGTATAATTATTTCCTGAATATCATGTGTATAAAACATCCTTTTAAAATAAGACTAATAATAATTATTACTATCATTATTGGATTCGGTTAATTGTTCAATGTGATTTTCTCAGAGATGGTGATATTAACGATATTATGAGTGAAGTTAGAATGCAACTAAAGAAAATGTCAATAACAGATAAATGTAGAATTGATGATATGTTTCTTACATATAATAAAGACAGACGTGGTTGTATTGACATTGAAAATTTGAAAGACATGTGTAAGAAAATCCACATTCCGCCAGATGAGGATGTACTCAAGGCGGTAAGTAACCTAATTTAATGAAAATTGATTATGGTAATAAATGATTGCTTTCTTCAATCAGTATTTATTCTTAAAAGTAATTTTGAGAATACGTTGAAGTAGAAATGCAGAATTGAGTCAGAGTTTTGTTACACATATTTCAGAATATTATTATGGGTTTGTTAGATCTGAGAAGATAATGTATATCACTTTATCGACTGACTAATCAGAACTCCTGTTATGTTTTACCGGGTGAAAGCTATTTGGTTTACGGCCAAGTGTACAAGGCCTTGATAGATGATCCCGACATACTCGATTAAACTTGAGCAAACAATCTCGACTCCTATTGGTTAGCTAATAAGCACTCTTTCTTTTTGTGTAGGCATGAAGGCAGCCTACAAGCTTCTACCATTCATTGTTCTCCGCACACTCAGGTTCATATACGGACACATTAGACAGGATGACATAAAACAGAAAATCATTGTTATACAGAAACAGGCCACAGGTGCCAACGAAATAATTGACTGACAATAAATAAGGAAACATACGAAGTGTTATAATTTCTCATATTAGAAACTAGCTATTTTTATTGCTTAGTATATCTTGGACATTGCTTCAAACAAGAAGTCCCCAAATCATAACACGGTTGAACAGGGACGTAGTAGAATTCAAAATAACAAGGCTTGATGGAAGTAGGAATCACAATAAGAAAAACATTAGTATATTTAAGATTTTTACATAAGAAGATTCCAGAGTCATCCCAAGTCTCCGCTATCGTTGAGAAATAGCCAGTCAGTATGGCCCAACACAGTCCTGCAAGGGATATGCTTTAATCCAATCTGTATCCCGCTAACATGCGTGGTGATAGTTAATAGGTAAAACAGAAGCTTACAACAAATAGAAAATAAAAGCATGATAGTTCAGTAATTTAGTAATTGTATAATAAATAAATATACACATACATTGAAAGTCCGTAAAATGTTTTCGAGTGTAATCCTTCCTTAAATTTTCGTCCTCTTACAACAAGGTTCTTTGATCATTACATAGGTTATTTAAAGATTACGCGCTCACAATGATTCCTTAATATCCCAGGTTCATTCCTCGGTGTGGCCGTCGATGAACACTAATAAGTAGTCTTACATTGCGTTGATACATCTCCTTAAAACTTCCTAGTTTTAAAGTCAAATCATTCATAGAGATCTGTGATTTAATTAGTTACTGGAGGAATGTTTTTTTTAGTATATACATCTTATTCTAAATAGATTGTTGCAGTTTGTGTTGACGTTAGCAATGTGGATTGACTTCAACTTGATTAGCTTCAGTCCAAAACTAGTCATTTCATTTAAATCTCATTCAACTTAGTTAAGAAAACATTTTACACAATAACTTATTTAAAGTTACAAATGACTTAGACAGTTTTTTCGTTAAACAGATTAAAATGATCTTATAAGCATGGAACTAGATATTCCGTCTTATTGTTTAATACATAGTCACAGTCACCAAATAGTGATTGATCTATTATGTCACATTATGCTTGGTGATTTAAACAAGTAAAATACAAATACACCATTTCATCACTTTAACAACATTTCAAATTGTAATATACTTAGTTTAGTAATAAAGTCATTTCATGTTATGTCTTTTTTTTCTAATTTTGTAGTTACTTGATAAGTATGGTACTGAAGGAAAAATGTCACTAGAACAATTTGGAAGATTTTTTGAACAGCCATAATTATAATGAACCATGAATAGTACTTATAATGAAATAAACTTTTTGCACTTGTTTATCTGTAGTAGAAGAGTTGAATGAGATATAACTAACTTCTAATTTGTCTTTAAGATAGTTGAGTTCATAAAACAAAACAAATTTAATATAAATAAGCATATATGTAATGCCATTTTTTGTACAAGTCAGTTTATTATCACAACATTTGCAATCGATGAAATGCTTCATAATGCAGATTAAATTACGTCAACTCTTGAAACATATTGGATTTACTTGACAAAATATTTATAGTGTGTGCACATTTAATAGAAATCCATATTATGATGATTGAAGAAATAAAGAATTATAATGCATGTCCATGAAACACTGAATCGTTGATATGTGAAAACAAAATATTCTAAGCTAGTGAGTTAATGATGGCAGTTCAGAGTTAATTTACTAACATAATGTTAACATTAAACTATTTGATTAAATATTGTAATTTAAAATATTCATCATCAGATGTTAGTAAAGAGCTTCATTTGTATCAGTCATAAGTAACACATTTGTCTATGACAAGAATAAAGTGTCTAAAAAAAATTTAATTTAGGATTGTAAACTACTGCAGATATTGTTAAAGCTAAGTGATTTTAATATCAGATCAGGAAACAATATATAAATTGAATATTTAGAAAGACCAACAATTGAGTTATACTTCAGAAAAATACAAAAGGACAGAAAAATAGCATTCATTATTTGAAAAGTAATTTAGGAAGTTCAGCATTTTCTGAAAAATGTTCTACAACTTTATGTAAAAAGTGTAATTTTTAGTGGCCCTGTTAAATTGTATGCTGATTGTTGTCGAAATACATATGCCACCAACCTGTCTACATCTTTATCGACTTAATTCGCGTTAGAGAATAACCGAATGAAATAAGCCGAATACGAGAATGAATTTTCAGTACGTATATTCCATACACCCATTGACGCAAACAGACAAATAGAGAAACGAAGTAACATGCAAAGGAGGTGAGTGAGTCAACTCGTTTCGGACAAGCTTGACACTATTTATATTCAGACAAAAATAAATTATGGACTTATAATGAATAGGGTAAGCAATTAACACTTACGATCATATAAAAGTCATGGTTAATAAACCAATAATCAACAAGGCCCAAAATTGGCTTGAAAAGAACGAATAAATTAGTCTGTACAGAAGCTAGGATAACCTATCTAGGCTTGACATAGAGCCCAACCACTAAAAATTGACCTGGAACCTAAGATTTCATTTGTTTCTTAACCCTGATTTTAATTGATGAATTGTCTTTATCTGTAACAGAATTACATTAACTCTAGCCAATTAAGCCTAAAGAAACGTTATTCGTCCTATTTTCTCTTGGCAGTTGTTTCCAACCTTATAAAAAACTTGGTGAGATTACAATATATGGACGACCTTTGAGCGACGCTGAAGTGACCTTGAGGGTGGACACGTACTAATTAGGAATAAATGAGGGTTATAAAGCAGTTAGAATTCTCATTAAAAGTTTATGGTCAGGGTTAGAAATTGGACTTGGGGTCTTCCTCACGAACGGGCATCAGCTATAATGCCAAAACTCTATTTAGGCAAATGTATGAGTGAATTTCGCGCCTAAATTCGTGACTCGTTATCCCATATCTGATTGGTTCGTAAATAAATTATAGTCTCGCCGACAACTGTGATATCCACAAAAGGCCGCACAAAGAGAAAAGTGTTCATCACATTAGTTTTCTACTACTAGCAGTTCAAATTGTGACAAAAACTCTGCTTATATGGTAGCAAATACGACTTCGTGATGCGTAATAAAACTTACTTTTTAATACCTGTTACCACTAGTGGGGGAGCATAGACCGACAACCAGCATTCTCCATTCCAATATGACCTGGACAATCCACTCTACTTGTTTCCATTTGACACTCACACCTTTGATGCATACTTCCATTTCCCAAAACATAGTGTTATTTGATCTTCCATTTCTCCATTTCCCTTCAGAGTTCCATGTTAATGCTTATTTCGCGATGCAGTTTGATGATTTCCACAATGTGTGTCCTATCCACTAACAACGTCTTTTCCTAATTTTCCCCTCAATAAGAAGTTGGTTTATTCTCACACACAGTAGGCTATTGCTGATGATATCCGATCAAAGGATAATTAGTGTGTTAAGTAGACAATTGTTTGCAAATACTTGTACATTTTCGATGTTGGTTGTGGTAGTTCTCCATGTTTCAGTTCAGTACAATGGAATTGTCTTGACGTTCGTATTGAAGATTCTGATTTTGATAATCGCTTGTAGATAGTTGTTTTGGTTTCGAGATGTTCCACAGTAGGAATGTGATCCTTGCCTTTACGTCTGCATTGGATCCTCAATGGTTCATCGGTGATTTTGAAAATATCATGTCTGTGAATGTTTCCACCTGTTCCAGAGTTTCTCCATCAAGTTTGTTTGGTGTTGTATATGTTGTAGTTGAGGATCTTGCCTTTACACATGTGAATGTTGAGGCCTAGTGATTCAGAGGCTGCTGCTGCTACTCTGGTTTCCTTGACCTGCATTTGTTATTATATATGCGATGAAAGGGTGAGGCCATGTTCGGTGTCCAAATCATCTAGTTGTATACAAGTTGTCCATGCACGACTCTGCAGTGAAGTTCGTCGTATGTAATCTGTATGATGTTGACGATGTTCTCAGCTACTCACACTGTAGTGCGGAAGATGATTCCATAAATTCCTGCTATTCACACTGTCAAACGACTTCTCATAGTCAATGTGGTTGATGTTTGGTGACGAGTCGCACTCAATTGATTGTTCGACGGTAATATGTATTGTGTCCATTTGGTCTGTGCACGATTGATCCTTATAGAATCCGACCTGTTGATGTGGAAGTTGAGTGTCTACTGAATCTTTCATCAGGTTCAGCAACACTCTGTTGAAAACGTTTCCTCGTACCGATAGTATTGTGGTGCCTCTTTAGTTCTCACACTTGTTCAAATCTACATTATTTGGTATCTTGATGAGATATCCTTCTTTCCAATCTGTTGACAGTTCTTCTTCCTTCCAAATCTTCCTAAATAGTACGTAGAGCATGTTTGTATTCAATTCAATGTCTGACGTTTGTGCTTCAGATGGTATATTTTCAGGACCTACTGCTTTCCCAATATTGATCTGTCTGATGGCCTTCCTGATCTCTTCGATCGTTAGTGGAGTGACATTTTTTGGAGTGTCTGTAGGCGCTTCTTTGATGTCTGGAGGACCCAATGTAGCTTACCTATTCAAGTGTCCCACCCCTGTGTTCCTCTGATTCTGAATCACATTGAGTGGCTTGCCTTCGTTGTCATTGTCTAGCCTTTCCGGTTCTCTATATATCCTTGCTAGTTTCTTCGTTGTATCACGTAGTCGCTTCATATTTCCTTCTCTTGCAGCTTTTTCTTTTCGTTGCTAAATCTTCCACCTATTTCTGCTTGTCAACTCTATTGCCATTCTTCACTTGCTTGTTTGCTGCTATATATTCAGCTTGTGCCTTGACCTTCTCTGTTCTTGTTCGGCAGTTGTTAATCGCTGCGTCCTCGTTCTTCCTTTCATGGATCTTGTTCAGGGTTTCAATGAAGATCCATACCCTACGATGATGCTTCTTGCAGCCCAGCACCTCCTGACATGTTGAAGTTAGTTCATTTTGATCTTTTTCCAATTGTCCTACACAGTGGTTTTATCTTCTTCCAGTAGATCTTTTAAGGCGTAGAACCTGTTGTTGAGAGTTATCTTGAATTGGTTGAGTCTGTCAGCATATGGAGTGAAGACTTTATTGAACGTTTATTCTGCTGTTTGTCTAGATTTCTAATGCTTCAGTTTCATCTTGGCAACCATCAGGTGTTGATCTGAAGCTATGTCAGTTCCTCTCCTGGTTCACACGTCTTCTATTGACCTTGTGAATTTTTCATTAATGCAAACATTATCTATCTGGTTCTGTGAAGTGTGATTTGGTGAGATCCATGTAGCTTCGTATATGCATTTGTGTGTCAATATTAAGCCGCCTATAACTAATTTGTTGAATGCACATAGATTTGCAAATCTCTCCATTCTCGTTTCTATCCCCCAGTAAGTCCATGTTGTCCCATGATATCTTCATATTCCATGTTGTCCATTCGGACTTTGGCGTTTAAATATCCCATCAGAATGGTGAGATCCCTTCTGGGGCACTTCGCTATGATTGATTGCAGCCTCAAGGAGAACCGGTCTGTATTTTCATCGTTGCTATCATTGGTGGGTGCATAAAATTGCATAACATTCATTGTGATTCCCTCCTTCTTTTTGTTGAAGTATGCCTTGATTATCATAGGTCCATGAGATTCTCATCCTATAAGTGCATTACATGCTCCCTGGGTAAGCTGAGGATTCTCTTCTTCATGGCCAGAGTACAGCAGCACTTATCCCGAATCTAACCTTTTCTGTTCAGCTTGGGTATAATGGTTTTCACGGATTTCGATAACCGTCAAGTTGTATCTCCCATTTTCATAGCTAGTTGATTGGTCCTCCCGATCTGTCACATTCCATGTACCTATATTAATCGTTGCTCTGGTCGTCAAAAAGGACATCAGCCCCGTGATTTCCAAAGGATGTCGGCTTTCACCATAAGGCGCCATAATTCTTCTGGGTGGAGATCCTTCAACTCGGAGGACAGAGTTTAAATGGTTTAATTTGTTAATTCTAGTTATCGTTTTTTAGTAAGGTTGTTTTCTACGGTATGAGGTTGCTGGCCTCATACCCAACTCTCCTCCTTTACACGGGCTTGAGACCGGCAGTAACCTTAAGAGTTGCATAATAAAAACAGCAAACTAAAAGTAAAGTTAACAACCAGATAACATTAAAGGCCACTAGTGTATTGTGAATTTAAAATACTACCGAGGATGTGTTAATTCGTCAAAAGTAAGGTAATCCTAGTTATAACTGTATGATATAAAATAAAGTAGTTTTTAAATCCCCAGATAACAAAATACACTCCCCTTGGCAACTAACTAATACATACTATTCTATTCTTGAACTAAGATTTAAGAAAGCATTTGTTTAGAAAGTATTTTCCATGCAAGTAGAAAGGGTGAAAAAACTACAACGATAGCTAGCTTTCATAGAGAAAAACTGATATTGTGACTTCAAAGCATCATTACTTTTAATGAAAAAATAGCTACTGATGTAATAGGTTCTTAAAATAATTTAATAAGTGCTCATTCGATAAAAAAATCCAACTAAGTAAAACTTACAGATTGATGGCAAAAATAATATATTGTGGATTGTTTCTAATCTAAATCTACGTCATATGTAGATGATTTATAGTTGGATATGATAGAGTAATCCACTTAT